CCCCCCCCCCCCCCCCCCACCCCTACATATTGCACGTTCAGGCTGTAAATAAGTAGCCCAGGGAGAACTCGCACTAACGGTTTACTACCTACGGACGGTTGATTTTTTCATGGGAAATTGGCGAAACGCCCAGATACGCAACAGACGCGAAAACGTCTTCCTGAGGCCACTTGTTACGCTGTCTCTTTTTGGGCTGTCCCTTTTCTCAAAAAGGGACAACTGACCAAAAACCACTTGTTACGTGGTCTTTTTTTGCGTTTTTGAACCTCCCGAAAAGGGACAGCGAAAAAAGATCACCCCATCCTGTCCCTTTTTGGGCAACTTTGTCCCTTTTTGAGAAAAGGGACAGCCCAAAAAGCGACAGCGTAACAAGTGGCCTGAGGAGAGCCACGAAACACACACGAAGAAAAATCGGCGGACCAATCAAACATCGCTACCCCCCCACAAGCTCACAGAGACGTCGTCACAGTGCGCGGGTTACAGCGGCGGCCTCCACCACATACCGGCCACAACCCTTTCAGCACTAACCTCAGCTAGGGATCGAACTTTCTCACCAGTCGACATCGCCGCCACCGACCACAAGCAATCCAAAGGCGTGAGCGGGCATCACGTTGATATACACACCAACTGCTTTTCGCACAAAGCCATTCCCCCCCCCTTAAAGCGATACGCAGCTGTCATCCGTATGCAAGGAAGTAAGCACAAGATGTCGAACACCCCTAGCAGGATGCAGCGCACCCTTGATGCGACTAGCCGAACATCTCACGGCGCTTCGCGCGTGATGTGAGAGCCTGGTCCGGTGAGAACCCGGCGTGCTCCGTCCCGGCTTTGTAGGGATGCGAGGTCAATGGTCTTACGACTACGGCATGCACGACTATGAGTACCCCCCCCCTCCCCCCCCTACCTTAAAAAAAACAAAGCGCAACAAGGGCGGCAGTACCGTCCCGGCGGTGGACAACGCACCGGATAACTGCGACCAACCCCGTGCAAGACACACAATAGCGCTGCATGCCGGCTAACGCGAAAGCGCCGGGCGATCTACAAGCCTCCCCGTGTAAAGAGCGCTGCATGAACCATCGCCGCCGGGAAAAGAACGATACGTGTCGATCGACTACCGCATAACGTTCTACACCGGCCGGTGTGACAATCTTTCTTCTTCTTGCCGTTCCGGGCCCGGGCGAGGATGGGGGGCTTCGTCAATCATCGTCACCTCTCTTCGGCACCCTCCCCCGAAAAAATGTGGTCCTGTGCCTCCTGCTTGCTATGCCGGGAGCGCGTGCGGCTCGTCGTCTGCTGCTTGCGGACCTCGCTGTTCTTGGAGTAGAAGGGCTTCTCGCCCCCCGTACCCCCCCACTTGGAAACCCCCAGGATTTCCCTCAGGAGCTCATTGCTCTGCATCTGCGTCTGTGCCGTCGTCGCCGCCAGGGGAAGGGGAAGCGCGTTGTCGAGAGAAGGGGTGCGAAGTCGGGCACGGCCGGGGTATAGTTTCATTGCGGGGCAGTTTTGAGCTTGGGGCTGGGCAACAAGCAAATACAACAAATACGCCTCCGGGTTTCGGCTTAGAAGAGGGGGACGGCGGGGGGGGTGGCGGAAGCCGGACGACCAGAATGTTTACGGTGAAGCGCGCCACTCCTGGCACCGCGGCTGCACTGCATCCGTGTCCGTGCGTTGTACGGTACAGCCCAGCCACGGCAAGAAAACACCTTCTGGGAAAGTTAGAGGCAAAGTCTTCCCTCCACGACACTTCAACATGCTCCGAGCTTGAAGAAAAAACACAAGATTCCTCGTTCCACCGAGCGGCAAAACAAGTTGCTCTACCAAAGAAAACACCGCCAAGGTGCCGATACAATCGTATTCACTTCCTTCCATCTCCATCCGCTGCGCTCCTCCGAGCGAACAACAACAGTACCCACGCCCAATTTCGGCCTGTCAAGCCCCCCACCCTGCCTTTTCCACAAATATACAACTAGTGTTTTTATGTGTTTATTGCCTCGACTCGGCGCACCTGGAAGCCGCTCTGCAGGCAGCTGCGGAGGGCGTTGAGCTGCTTGATATGGGCCCAGTCGGCCACCGTGAGGCTGCCGTTCTGCAGGCTCACCACCTCTTCCGGAGGCTCGTTCTCCCCGATCGTCGCGAACAGCTGCCGGAACGTCCGGCGCTGCTGCTTCTTGGTCTCTCGGCTCAGCTGCACTCGCGTTCGACCGTGTGAGCGCAGCATCAGCAGGGGTCCGGTCCGGTTCGGCAAACGGAAGGAGACCGAGGGGCGTACAGTTGTACACCAAAGGTTGAGAGCAAGGTCCAAACCAGATGCGAAGGCGGTACAACTAACTGGGCCGCGGAATCAGCGAGGTGCGGTTTGTTTTGCATTGGATTGCGTGTGCGTGAGCGCCGAGGCGTGTTTGAAGAATGGGACTTTGATTTCCCCTAGAACCGCAAGGACATACGGGTGTAGGAGAAGGTTGCGACACGGGGCATACTCGTCTCGGCCGTGGCGATCGTGCGGGTGAGAAAAGTCTGGTCGTCGAACAGCAGTCGAGGCACCTGACCAACACCCTCACAGGGGATTCATAACAGGCTTGAGGATCGACCGCTACACGTATTCAGCCGCAGCACGATACGCCGCTCGCTTTGCGGCCGTCAATGCGACAAGATCCACCAGCCCTCACGACCTTTACCCCGTGTACCATGCATCGCACGGCGTGCCCCCCACACGACCAAAAAGCACGACCACACGACGGCCTTGAAACGAGACCCCGAAGAGAATTGAGAGAGAGAGAGAGAGAGAGAGAGAGAGAGAGAGGGAGAGAGAGAGCACGTTCTCCGCCAACCACAACATCCCCTACCCTGCCCACCGCGCCTTCCAGCAAGCCGCACCTTCTTGCTGCTGTCGGTGATGAACCCCTTGATCTCCTCCACCACCTCCTCCCACAGCACAGTCAAATCCATCGCCTCCATCTCCGCGGCCCCATCATCATCATCCTGATCCCCTTCATCCTTCTCCTCCTCCTCCTCCTCCTCGCCCCCGCCCTGCGCCGCCTCCGCGGTGCCCCCCCCTCCGCCGGACCAATCCGCGGACCCCCCTTCCCCGCCGCCAACCAGCCCCAGGATGATTCGGCTCTCGTGTAGGAGAGCGAGGTTCTCTCCGGCCTCCATGCGAACGTCCATGTCCGGGCTCGAGAGCAGCTCCCTGAACACTCGGAGGTGCTGCTTCGTCATGCGCGTCGCCACCCAAGACCGCGACACCGTGGTGGCCAGGAGGCCCCACCCCGACAGCGCCGCCGCGCACACCTTGTCCGGCACCTCTAAGCCTGTTGGTTTCGGACGGCCGGCCACACGGGCCGTGAGAGGCGGGTACTCATGTTTGGCATGCTTGTGCTGTTTGGCCATTGATCACGCGTCCTCGACAGGGCGGAGCATAGGGGGTGGGGTCATCATAAAAGCATGATCGTTGCGGTACTATGGTGGGGACCCTGGCACCCCTCCATTTACTAGCAGACGGCAGTGAAGCTTTTGATTGGGCTACAGCAGTTTCCATCCCGCTACAAGAGTTACAACACACCGTTTCTGGGCCAGTCGCTTAGCTCTGTCCAATTGAACGAGATAAACACACACGCAAACCATGGGGCAGCAATGCTGCCTGCCTGGTGGTGCTGAGTCTCCTCCCCGTATTTCAGAAGCAGGACACTGTCGCCCAACTCCTGCGCCCCCCCCCTCCCTGAAGAACCGCGTCGACTAGAAAGCGTCCTTAAGTTTTCCATCCCGCTACAAGACTGACGTAATTTCATTGGTCAGCCGGCTAGCGCGGTTGGGTGCAAACAAAACCCCCGTCCCGCAACGCCCTCGTGCTTGTGCTACCCCTTATAGCTACCCCTTTTACCATCGCTTGTCCCGCTGAATACGTCGGCCAAGAGGTCCAGGGTCTCGCTGGTATTGTCGTCGTCGCTCGAGCAGATGAAGCATGCCAGCGCCAGGGTGCGCACCGCCGCGACCCTAACCCCTTCATGGCGGCTGCGGGTAATGAGGCTCCGCAGCGGCCGCCGCAGGGCCCGAAACGCCTCCTCCTCGTCCGGCCCGATGCACACGCACAGCACCGAAAGCGCTCGCAGCGCGTGAGCCCCCTGGTATACACATCGCGCGTGTTTTCCTTTTTGTGAGTGTTAGAGCCCTTCCGCACGTGCACGTCTGTTGGGCTATGATACGTAACACGAGAAAAGGAGACCCTTCCAGCACCTTTCCCCGGAAACATACCTCTCATACATCGAACCTTCCCCCGTCCCCTGCACTGGGACTCCCTTTCCCGTTTGGACTGCAACACAAACGACCTGCGCTGAGCTATAGCCCATCTGGGACAAATGCAGCCGGGAGAAAAGCACGCATGAGCTCTCCACGTACATCAATCTACGTGAGACTCGATGATAATATGTAGGTGTAAGGCGGCACATACCTTCACGTTCTGTACTTTCGAGCGAGCACAACAAAAACGCCCAACAGATCGGCGCTGCTGCGGCCGTAACCCCTCTCAAAAAAGCCTCCAAAAACACCCCTCACCTGCGACTCCGCGCCCTTCCCGCGAGCGACGCCGATCAGAGCCGAGAGCACCGTCTCCCGCATGGCCAGCACGGGCTCGAGGTCCGGCGAGTGGAGCATGAACTTGATGACCGCCCTCAAGCCGGCCTCGCGCGTGGACGCCCTGGGGAGACGGTCGATCATTCGGTCGGCAAGAGGGGCAAGCAGGCCACAAAGGTGTCGGTCAAGTCAGCCAGTAACAAAACAGGAGAGGCTCGAGTGTGCGTTAACAAGACACGCACGAACACGTGTTGGTGCCAGCCGCGAGGGCTGGAGGATTGTTTTCATCGTGTGAAAGAACCACGCCGAGGGCGAGAAACGAAATACTTGTAGAAAGCACGGAACCATATTGACCATGTGCGGTCAATTTCTTCAAAGCTTCTCCTACCAAGTCATTGCATAATTGGTGGCGCGTTCGGTGCTTGGCCTCAAAACCCGAGGGCCCCGGGAAGTCGTTCATGACAGCTGGTCGCGCTCGGGTGGCATGATGAAGTGAGCAGAACTACGGGGTGTCCATGATCCACGATATAGAACAAATTCAAGATTCAAGAGCAGAAGAAAATACTTGATTTTTCTGTAGGTGCCAAGCGTCTACACAATGCGGTTTGATTTTCCTTTGTTGAATCTTCACCTGAAGGCACAACCAACAAGTGGCCGTGCAACATGTTAGCCGGTATTGTGCTATCGAACCTCCACATTTTCATGACCTCCCTGCCTGCTCTGCTGTGTTGGGTACCTTGATATCGCTTTGCTGTTGCCTTTGTTTTTTTGTACGGCTGGCTGTCTGCCCATCTGCCGCCTCTTTGCCCTGTTTGCTCCGTTACTCCCATGCCCTGGTGCGCAGTGCCTGGTGCTGGTACGTTACGTTACCCTTTCATTTTTTCTTTCGGCGGGTGTGGGAAGCGTCCTCCTTTATTTTTTTTTTTTGTTTTTTTTGTTTTGTTTTATTTTGATCGGTGTCCGAGGGCTCTTTTCTCGAACAGTAGGTGCGATACCTGTTCTTTTCTTTCTTTCGATCATTTTGTTTTCTTTTTCCGAGTGGTTTGTATCCTATTTTTGTTTTTTGTTTTCTCGCGGCGTCGTATGTGCCGGGTTTTGAGACCACGGGCTCCCCATTTTTTGTGGACTATAGAGCTAATGTGAGAAACAACAACAACAACAATTGTTTCTACATGCAGAATCAAAAACTCCTGATCTGGTGGACCCAGAGAGATTGGAGTTGAGGATAAAATTCATGATCGATTCGTAAGTCCATAAACCGCGTGTGTTGTGTTGCAAAAGGAGCGTCTGGCACCAGCAAACTGTATGAGTTTCTCGTCGTGAAGAGTAATAAATGAAAGGTGAAGGTACGTCATGGCACGTCATCAATAGGTGGCTCTATGTTGGGCAGCGCGACAGAGTCGTGGACAACGGGTTCTCCCTAGAAGCAGCCCTACCCCATGCGCAGCAGTTACTCAGGGGGACAGAAGGATCAGCAGCTAGCCTAGCCGGTGGCTTCTCTCTCTCTCTCTCCCCCTTCCCATCGGTACCGCGGAGCCATCCTCTTTTCCTGCTGCCTGGAGTTTCCCAGACCCCCTGTTGCAGTGCATCATACGCGGATCAACGCAGATGTACAGCAGCACTGCTGTAGTCCCACCTCTTTTCCGTCAGCTGCTCAACACCGTCCTTGAAGTCATCCACCGCCTTGCTGTTGACGCCCTCTTCTCCCCCAGCTGCCTCCCACGCCCCGCCGCCGCCGCCGGTGAAAGCATCGGGGTAGTCGAGCGCACTCCCGTAAGTGTCTATGCTGGTGGTGGACATGGCGTCATCGATGACATCATCTCCGAATTCCTCCCTGCTGCTTGGAGACTTCCTGCCCTTGCTGCCTGTTATGAGAGGGACCGCAAAAGAGAGGGGGTGCGTCGGGGTGTGGTCAAGCCAAGCGTTGTTGGCGGCGATGCAAGTGTGCCCTTGACACATCAGAAAGAAACAGGAGGGTGTCTCGGGCAGCATTCTCTCTTTAGGAAAGAAAGAAAGAAAGCCGTTGTACAAGAGAGGACGCGGAGCAAAACAAGCACCACGCAAAAATACACCTTTCTTGCCCATCTTGGCAGTGCTGTCCGGGATCACTCCAACCGATTCCCGATCACACCCAGCCACCAGGAAGGACACGTGCGGGCTACGGACACCTCTAGCACATCCGTGATCGACTTGCAGTGATGTGATCGATCGGGCGATCGCGGCGGGGGCGCGTTGACAGCCAAGGTCATTGACATATATAGCCATTAGTTGTCGTATCAAAACTGTGAGCCCCCCATTGAAAATCTGTTGCCCACATCATGCATTGCCATACTAGACTACTTGAAGAGCTCCTGATTGAGCCGACGCCACGAGCCACGAACACAGCACCGCTACGATTCCTGTGTGTGCCTGCGCTGATCTCGTCGTGGGTGCGTGACAATCTTGCCAGTTACGCCCACACCGTTGAATTTACGGTGCCTGCCGGGTGTGGACTCTTGGGGTTTGTAGTACGCAGATCTCTCGAGAACGCTGCCGGCGTTGACAACCGCGCCCTGCTTTTCTCTCGCTTGGCACAAGAGCACCGGACCTGCTGATATGGCGCTCCGCATCGTTGGGCAGCACAAGGGCTCGATCACGCTGGACCTGGACAATGCGACGGTACTCGACCTTAAAAAATCGATCGCTGCCTCGTCCGGCCTGGCAGCGTCTGGCCTCAAGCTCCTCGCAGGCAAGGACACGATGCGGAGGAATAAGGAGATTTGAACATAATGACCCCCCGCACTGCTCTGTCTACTGCCGACTCACACTGCTGCTGCTGTTGGGCTGCTCTGCCCCGTGCCCTGCGCTTTTCACAAATCAAGTTTCCGCCAAGCGCGTGCGGGTGACGAGCCCGCAACAGGAAACACCGCCCAGCAGGATCGCTGCTGTTCGTGTTTTGCGGGGTTGTGAAAACAGCGGGCGGCCAAAAACTGGCTCTCTCTCCCGGTTGTCAATCATCCTCCATCCTCCGTGTACGAACAGCCTTGTGAATGATATCCGACCGCCGGAGTGGATCTGTTTCTTGCGTCTTCGTTTGGTGGAAGGCGCGGTGCAGGATACATGCAGGATAGAGGCTCAACTCCTGAATCATCCAATCCACGTTTTTCGAGGATGACTTCCTACGCGTTGACGGTCCCATGCTCGAAGACAAAACATATGCGTTTCCGCGTGCTTGAACGTCACAGATGGCCGGCCTTTCCGTGGTTCTTGGTCCGTTCTCCTCCATAACAGCAGCAGCAGTAGCACCAGCGCAGATTGGGGGAAATCTAGCTTTTGTGACAAGGATGTTCTGTAAGGCGCTCCTGAATATGGTTCTCGGCCTTGTCGTGACAACCTGCTTTCGCCCTCTGCTGCATGTTTCGGCCTCTCGGGATCAGGCGGCAAACACTTGAAAGACGATGCAGGCAAGCTGGCTGAGTTCGGGTGAGTCGTTAGGCAGCAGTCTTGGCGAGTGAGTGCACTACATATCTTTCTTGGGAAATGTTTGGTGAACAGAAATTGCCGTGATTCATCTGTGAGGGCGCTTTTTCAAATTTTGGAGGGGAAAAGGAACGAAGTTTGGTCTCCTTCAGCGTCGAAAGCTGCAGTCTCTCATCACTGGCGTTGCTCGATACAACAACACGGGAGGCGGCCGGATGGACAACAACACCGAATTCCAATCAGGGCCCAAATCACAGCAAACAGCAAGTGATAATATATCGAAAAAAGGGTGCTAGCGTCATCGTAAATATTGAAATTTAATCGCAACACATGTTCATCACAGCTACTGCTGTATCATGGCTTGAAGTAATCGTTTTCCCTTCACGTCCACAGCACACAATAATGCATATTCCCATCCAATCACCATCCCATCCAAAACACCTGCTTCAGGATGACACCCCACAAGATGAACAAATGTTAAAAAATGTCAATCCGATCATCATCCCACATCCAAACGAACTGCTTCAGGATCACGCCGGGCAAGACCATCATGGTCCTGCGCCAAGACCTCTCCGAACAGGTCGAGGCGGAGGCGGGGCTCACCCGCAGGACGGAGGAGGCCGTGCAAGCGGCTTCCCTGCTTTCGGCTCGGGCCGCCCGCGACATGGCCAGCGGCGGCAGGGGGAACGCCTGGGGTGCGTGGGTACGGGACGACGGCAGCGGCGGCGGCGGCGACGGCGGGCGATCGGGAGGCAGAGGTGGAAGGGGAAGAGGTGGCAATCGCCCTGAGGTAGGTGGGTCGGAGGTGAAAAAGCTCAAGGTAAATTTGAGATTTTTTTTTTGTTTTTCATCACTTTCATCAACCAGCGCTCGCAGCTCACGGAATTTCCTCTAAGTTTCTATTATTTTTTTGTTGTTGGTCACTGTGGATCAGCCCTCATAGCATTTCTGCATACAGGGCAGGAGCTCCAATACGTGAAAAATGCATATTGAAAAAGGCCAAACAAATACACCACCACCTCCGCGGAGAAAATGTGGAAACACGCTCCTCGCCCAAATTTCTGGAGCAAGATGTCGTCCGCGTGGAACTCTGGGGTATTCACGGGGGTGAACGGGCAACGAGACGATTGATCGATGACGCAAACGTTTGGTTGCAACCCTATATCATACCCCCCTGTAGGGTGTGCTTTCGTGGAACCAAGGGCCGGCGAACAGGTTAAGGAGTTCTACCCAGGTTGAACGACACAACCCCCCCCCGTCAAGTGCCTGCCACTGCCGCTGCTGCTGCGTACGTGTAGTTGCAAACGCTTCCCTCTTCTTCGTGTCTCGCCACGCAGATCGAGCTGACTAACCAAGACGGGAAGGCCATGGCAATCCCTCCGGACGACTCTGCCGCCCTGATGGAAGGCATGATGCTTCACCGCCAGGGCCTGGCCTGCCTCCGTCGAGCGCGCAACACCGCCCCGTCGAGGAGGTCACCCGGGGCGGGGGCGGCAGCAGCAGCTGCTGCTGTGGGCGATGGCCACGCACCGCCGGCAGGAGCCGAGCGAGCTCCAGCCAGTGTCCAGAACAAGAAGGCTCGCCGCAGGCCGCAGACGGGTCCTCAGGCAGCGGTGAAAGCCGCACCGGGCGCGAGCGAAGACGGCGCGCTGAGTCTCAAGCCTCCCGCCGATCGCGGCGGTGGCAGTGGACGACCAGGCGGGTGGGAAGAGCGGAAAGAGAGCGATTGCGGAAGCGTGACGCAGGCGCAGGCGCAGCAGCAGCAGCAGGGGGGGATGGCGGAGAGAGAGGGCAAGGGCGAATCATCGCCGCCGAGAGCCGGGCTTGTCGGTCGAGCGGCAGCCAAGGAACAGCTGCCGGAGCGCACGGGCGCAAGGGAGGAGTCGACGGGCAACGAAGTTTTCACTCGGAGCCCCGCCCCTGAGGGCACCGCCGCGGCTCCCGGGTCACCGGCGACCGACGCTCCGCCGGCGTTCGGAGAAGAGTCCGGGGGCGTGGATTCGGCAGGGGACGGGGATGTGATGGAGGTTGATTCGGATGGCAACGACCAAGCGGGCAAGGGCTCTGGCGGCAACAGTGGCGGCGGCGGCAGCAGCGGCACCATGCGGGGGCCTCGAAGGGCCGCGCCGACGTTGACGGCGGCGGAGAAGCTGATGGCGCAGCGGGAAGGGCTCGGACTGCTGATGAGGGCAGACGAGGCGTTCCGGAGGTGCGACCCCAAGTACCTGGAGGCCGTCGACAACTACGCCTACCTCTGCCTGGGTGAGTTCGGGTCCTCATGGGGTAAAATAGGCGGCTTCTGTCCGATTCGACACGCGCACGGTAACGCCCTCATGATTTTTTGTATTGTTTTTTGTGTGTGTCTTGGTGGTTGTTGTCCTACAATCGGGTGCTGTGCTTGCCTGTGGCTGGGTTGGTCTGGTCGCATGATTTAGGCGGTTTGGCATCCTGTTCGTACGCTCTAAATAATCTCGAGCTGCCGCTCTGTGCGTACAAAGATATGCATGGCCACGAAACTACGGGCCAGAATCCTTCGCCACTGTTGTTGATCGACCTGTGTCTGCAGCGCTGTCTCATGCTTGCTACGCGTGCCCTCTAGAACCTTGCCGAGAAAAGGGTTGATGGAGGGACACGTTTTCGGTTTCGTCGAAAGAGGATACAGCGCGTAACGGGTTTACGACCTCTGCTATGGTTATGACATCTCCGCGAGATGCTGACCCCCCCCCCCCCCCCCCCCCCCCCCCCCCCCCCCCCCCNCCCCCCCCCCCCCCACTCCATCCTTCGCGTATCCCCCGACGCCGCCAGACGTCGTGTGGCTGCTCTTCCTGATGAAGGACATGAAGAACATCGACCTCGCGTCTCGCATGCTGGCGGCCGTGGAGAAAGGGTTCCGGAAGGCCCACGGGGAGGGCCTCCAGCGGCTGACCGCGCTCAAGGGGGAGCACTGCGCGGAGAAGCTCCTGTACGTCAGGCTCCATCTGCTGCAGGTGTGTATCGATCGATTGTATGCTTGTGATGATTCGTTCAAGATTGGGCGCACAACAGGAAGGCGTTTCTGTGCTTTGCTAGCTCGTTTTACTTCGCGAGCAAAACATATAAGTGGTATACCATGATATTTTTTCGCGTTTTTTCGCTTTCGCTCTCGCTTTCACGTCTCCGCGACCCTCTCGCGGTGCGTGCGTCTATTTTTCTGGACTCTGTGACGACAACACCTGCCAGCACCACCCGCCCCCTCGCTCCCCCCGTCCCCTCGGCAGTAGTCAGTCACTCTTTCGTTGCGGTTTTCCCGAGGGGGGTCGCTAGGGTGGCGGGGGTAGCCAACAAGTAGCCGCTGTGCTGTGGACAGGCGTGCCACGCCCAGGTGCCGACGCTGTCCGACTACGGTTGGCGCTTGGATTAGTGCCCCAGGATCTCCCGTGCACGTTGATGCCTCTCGGGTGTAGTCCAGCCCTTGGTCACAAACTTAGCCTCTGCGACATGACTTAATTTCACTCCGCGAGCAGCAAAGGAAGGCGGGGGGGTGTACTCATTGTGGTGCATGCGGTAGTCGTTGGAACATTGACCGCGCATCCCTACAAAGCCGGGACGGAGCACGCGGGGTTCTCACCGGACTAGGCTCTTACTTTTCCAAGCGCGAAGGGCCGTGAGGGAATCGGCGAGCCGCATGAAGGGTGCGCTGCATCCTGCTAAGGGTGTTCGGCTCCTTGGCTTTATCATCCGTATGACAGCTGCGAATATCTATGCGGGGGGGGGGGCTTTCGTTTGTTGACTTGCGCAAGGGTAACTTTTGCCCCTCACACCTCCATACACACGCGACGCATCTGATCCGGAACAGTATGAGCAGGGGGCTGTCTACCTCTCTCCCGCCTCCTCCCACCAAGGGAGCAGGCCGATGAGGGAGTTGCGGGACTTTTCCCTCCAAAAGTGTCGCGACTTTTTCCTCGCGCGGTGACCGATTTGTTGCAGAGCTCTCCACCAACTGTGATGCGACATGGCTCTTACTCCACCACTCCAACGTACGGGGAACATCCGAACGTTGCGGGGGATAGCTTTGGAGGAATGCTTCCTGCGGCAGCGCTCACTTGCCAAATCGGGCGTCTCTCGACGTACCTCGGATACCATCCACACCAAGCGTTCACGTGCAAGACCCATACCCCCCCCCCCCTGGCGTTCCACACACCACTTACCGGCTCTGCTGCTGCTGCTGCTGCTGCTGCTGCTGCTGCTGCTTCCGCGACAGGGAGTGGTGGCGTTTCTCCGGGGGGACTCGGGGAAGGCTTCGGCGCTGCTCCTCCGCGCGAGCGGGGAGGCGAAGGCCCTCAAGCCAAACCCGGCCCTGGCCTGTCGCTTGATGCAGAAGTGGCACACGGTCAGGCTCGAGGTGCTGCAACCGAAGGTACGGTGGGCGCGGTTTCTTAAGGGCTGATGCCTCACTCTTCTGGGTAGGCCTGTGTCGGTTGCTGGTTGGTGCCTGGCACCTGGATTGTCGGAGGGGTGTATTGTTGTGATCATTCGCGAAAAGGGGCTTACACCTGAGGCTGGTGTCGCAATCACGCCTCGGGACGGTTGGACATGAGCACGATCCACACCTCTCGGCTTCGCATCTACGTCGTTGAACTCGAGACCGACTATCGTGCTGATGTTTTGTGCGGCATGTTTTTCTTTTCACTTTCGGAAAACGTTCGAAAACTTTCGCTGTTTTCTCGATTGCTCTGAGTCCGGGCGGTCTTGCAATAGCCACCCTCCTGATTTTGTTTGTTCTGTTCGCATGATCCCTCTCTCTGATGAGGAACTTCGTTGTCTGGCCTATCAACGAGCTTTATTCGGTATGTACACCTTGACCATCGATCAACCGAGACATCTTTGTCTGGCTCGTGCAGGTAGCGCTGCGAGCCCTGCGTGCTGGGCGGAACAACATCGACGCCGCCTGGCAGTACCTGGAGAATCTGCGCCAAAGGAAGGTGAGCTGGCAGGGGGCCCGGTCTGGTCGGTTGATTGCTGCTTGAACGGACGAAACCGCGGGCGCATTTTTCCTGCCGCTCGTCACATCCGAGAAGACCTCGACAGGCGTACACAAGCGTGCTTTGAGCACGCGGTCGTCGTCGTTGATCTCAACGTCTTGTCTCTTTCGCTGCCGTACGTACGAGCTTCAGCTTTTTGGCTTGATGGGCATCAGCTCTCGTCTACACGAACAGCATGATCGGCGCCCTTCCACCTCCTGGCTGCACGGATGATGTTCTATGAGCTACACCTGCACGTACACACGCGCGTTTTAGAGGGTCACCGAAGGGGTTCACGTGTTGCCCACGGTGTTCCGCATCGTAGTATTGGATAGCCCACGCCCGTTCTTCTCGTTTTGGATTGACCTTGTTCTGCTGGCGGTTGTCTCGTCCATACATGCCCCCCTCGCCCCTGGTGTTGGTATGCCGTCCCATACCCGCCGCTCAAAGCGCATGCTCCGCCTCGTCGCGGTGGGTGTGGCAGAAGGTCCTTCCCACAATGTTTGGGCCATACACAGTCGAAGTCTCTTCAATATCATCCTCGTCCTGCTCCTCCTCCACCCGCCCTTCATGATTATCCTATCGACATGTCTATACTTTCTTGACCCGCTTCCGTTCGAAAGGAAACTGTGCGCAAGGAACGGAAGCTCAGGATGGAGCGGCGGCGGGCCAGCCGGCTCGGGGTGACGGCCGACAAGAAGGCCTACATCAGCGAGAGCCTCGTCCAACAGCTGGCCGGAATTGGCTTCCCGAGGACCAAAGCCATCAGGTCAGGTTTAGGTCTTCCCAAGCAGCCCCGCCGCTTTTCCAACCGCGGGGGCCCCACGAGGCTTGCCCAATCGTGCCGCAACGCGAAGCTGTTGAACCTCTCTGTTGTTGTTCAACGACCCGGCTTTGCGTGCAAGGCATTCCGTCGTGTGTGCGGTCAACTGATCGTGCGGCGGATTGCGGGACCATGTGTTTTGGTTTTCATTCTCCCGGCATGTTCGTGTCTCGGAATGTGGCGTGAAAGGTCAACTCCGTCATCATCCTGACATGCAGGGAACGAGCACTTGAAGCATGTCCTTCCTCCGGCGAGTATTTTCATTTTTGGTTTTTTCACTTTTGGGGGTTTCCGCAATGCGTTGGGTGGCATGTCCCTCGGCGGTGTGAATCAGCGTTTATCCGCCTTTTGGTTGTTGGTCCTCTTCCTTTGTCACCGAGCAGCAACTTCGGAGCTGCGTCGACTCTCTCTATCTCTGTCTCTCCCTGACACGCTTGAGCATTTTGTGAACATCGAGCAGACGCCAAAACCTGCTTGTTTCTATTTCTGCGTGTTGACTGCGTCCAACCATTATCCGGGCCACTTCCAGGGCCTTGCGCCTGCACAACAACGACGTCGCGGCCGCCTTGACCACCCTCACCACGGGAGACAGCAGCAGCAACAACGGAGGGAGAGGCAGCAACACCGACGACGATAACAACGAGGCCCTGGCAGTCCTGCTCTCCATGGGAGTTCCCCCGGAGGCGGCCCGCGACGTCCTCGGTAGGACGGGGACCCTGCGCGACGCCCTGAACGAGCTGGGGCTAGAAGCTCCGGAAGGGGCGGCCGCCGACGTAGGCAGCAGCGGCGGCGGCGGTGGTCCGGCGGGAGACGATGCCGCCGCTTCTCGCATGGATGTCAACGACGACGACGACGATAGCGAGGCCGACAGTAGTAGTGGTGGCGGAGAGGAAGAGTTGGACTCGGAGCCGACGCCGGAGGAGAAGAGGCTGTTCGAGGAGCTGGCCGCGGACCGGGAGAACCAGGACGACGAGGGCTACCTGGACATCACGCTGGAGGACGAGAGCGACGCGGCGGACATGTGAGGCGAAGATAGAAGCAAAGCAGCGGGGCAGCTCTGAGCTCTTGGTACCCCACCCCCCCCGGTTCCTCGTCCTCGTCTTTGCTTGGTTAACTACTGCTTGCTGCAAACGCCAGTTGGGCCGTACCGTTTCCGTCCTCTCTCACGCCTCGGTTTTCGAGAAGCTTGACCCTTTGATTTCATTCGCTCGGGGTTCGTCGATCGACACCTTAGTTTCGTTTATGTTGTTAAGAACCGCTACCAACTGATCCATCCACGGACCAACCAGGAGGCAACTGGCCTGTAGGGAGATGCACTCGCGTTCACTCGGGGCCAGAGGTCAGGTGAATGGCGCAGGGTTGGTTATTGTGCGGCTCAGGGAATCCGACCCAAATGTCGACGTGCGGAGAAGAAATCAAAAGCGGGGTGGTCGGGGACGACAGCGTGAGAGAGATAGAAGGGAGGTGGGGGAGAGAGAGAGAGGGAGAGAGGGACAGAAAGGAGTGTCACCTCTGGCGTCCCTTGGTGCTCGTTTCATTTTTAATACGAGCGGTGGTTGAGGGCTGACCTTCTGGATGACGGATAATTTTCACCCCGCGGGTCATTTGTTGCCAATCTCGATGGGTTTCTTTCTGCCAAGCGCATGCAGCCAACTTCGACAAGTCGTACTACCACTGGGCATAAACGGCTTCGAAACAAGTTGAATTTCGGTGTGCGCTTAGTTGACCGCATGAACACATACCTCGCGACCCCTTATTTTCAACTAGAAATCCCCATCTTCTCATGCAACCAGGTACATTCTCCTGTGCCGCGGCAACGTGCCGGTCTCCTTCGACCTCGACAAAGTCCGGGCGAGTGTTGCTTCCGCTGCTGCCGCTGCTGCCGCTGCTGCTTCTGCTGGTGGTGGTACTACTGCCACACCGACGGCGGTCAACAAATAACAGGGGCTGTAAAAAATGAAGGTCGAAAGATGCGTGCAACGGGCTGACCGGTCGCCTAGCAAAGAGCAGAGTGTTTTCAGTCATCCGCCTCAGGGCAATACTCTGGATGTCCGCTCGCGCGCACGGAACGTTAAGGTGGTAGAGAGGGGTGAATGAGAGCAGCACTGCTTTTGCCGCATTCGTGAGACAATCCAAACACACGAACAACTGGACGGAGTCATTGGCGTGGAACGCGTGTGCCGAGGAAGGTGTGTTGTTGCAATACATGGTACTCCGTTTTTCTGTTGGGCTACAAACGAATAGGCGATTTGGTTTGCGCCGGTGACATCGGGAGGATTTGGGGTTGCGAGTATCGGCTCCCAGGTTTCGATAGGTTGCAGTAGCTCCCTTTCTTCCCCTCGCTGCCTCGGCAAGGTTTTGCACAGGCATGACCCTTAGCGAGGGGGGTGGTCTTTCTAGCGAGCAGGGCTAGACTCACCCTCAAGGGACCGATACCTTCGTGCTGCGGCGCACCCGCCGCGAGGCGTGCGTAGTGGTGGAGTTGGGTCGGCTCTGGTGCTTCAGGTACAAAGGTGCAGATGCGCGGGCCTCCAGGCCGTCGGTGTAGGCAGCAATGCCCATCTCATCTTTGTGCGCGGAGGCAGACGTCATCAGAAAGGTGGACGGGCACTATGTACACGGCCCTAGGTTTGCTAGAGGGAGCTGTACTGTCTCAGTAACCTGGTTTTGCCATCAAAGGAGGAGGGGACAGGTGGTGACGAGCTGGTTGGGCTGGTTGATCCTTCGGCGCGAGAACTTTTAGACCAAGAACCCTAAGTGCAACGAGGGAGAAAGCGAGGAACCGACTGGGATGGACAGCAAAGAGAGCGTGTACGAAGCGGAGCGGGTCGAGTTTGGTCGTGCTAGGACTGGCCACAGCGGCACCGGAGCAGCGGCACCGGAGCAGGCGGACGGCATCGAACCGTGGCGCACGGACAAACATCTCTTGTGTTGTCAATTACTTATCCGTTTTTTTCCTGAATAGTTCTACAGGTGTTGGGTGTGTGTGATGACGTCACTGGTTTTGTAGAGAGACGCGGCAGAGATGGCGCGGATAACCCGGGTGCCTTAAGTGTGTACCTGCATCGTGGAAGACCCCTTCAATGTGGAACGATTCCTAGTCAGTGTCGGTGTTTACACTGCTGTGCCTAACACAGATGATCTGGATAGATTCGGGTGATTGTCAATTGCAATGTTGGCTTTGGTTGGGTGTTCTTCTTCATTGTATGTCCACGGACTCGTTCTGACAGCACTTCAGACAGCAGCCGCATGCCCCGAGCTTGGACCATGGTATTATTTTTGTATAGACAGCACTTCAGACAGCAGTACGCTGTAGTCGACAAACATTCATTTTGGTTAAATGGCGGACAAGGGGGGTGATGCTGCCGCTGTAGTCGATTTGTAGTGTGTGGGCGTGTAGTTCAGTTGTGAGCATGCAAACGTGCTGCAGGGATTGCAGGTGTACCTCCTCGGGCTTGCGTACCCTTTTCTTGCTAAGTGTGTGTTCTTTAGATCTTCTGATGGCTCTAGCACTTTTGTGACCACGGACCGAGTCTTTGCTAGATTTTGGGATTAGCAACTGACACGAGTTTAATGTGAAGAAAAACAAACAAAACAAAAAAACAAACAAGTAGTGGTGTTACGGAAGGCGACTTGGTGTGGAGGTTCGTGGTATAGTCTTCTCCAGTTTGCTGTCGTGTTTGCTCGTAGTGGTGTCGTTTTGAGAGCGTCCTTCGTTTTTTGTGTTTTGTTTTATCCTGTCCTGTAGTGTCCTCTCTTGTCTTGTCGTGTCTTGTCTTGTCTGTCTGGTGGTTGTAATGAACCATGGAGCGCGAAGCGCCTTTTTGCCTTTGTCCCATTGTCCCAGGAAGGGGAACAAAGCTCTAACATCGGCCTGTTCCAACACGATGCAGACGCCCGAAGTTAAAAGCCCTCCCGTTCGACCAGAACGAGACCGATCTGTTGGGCACTGACTTTCCATCTGTTGGCTTCTGTGCAAGAAAAAACGGGCACTCCTCGTCACACCGGTTTGGTCGTGCTCCGATAACAGATCGCCGAGCAAAGGCATTTGTTCCAAATTGGTAGCAGATAGTCTACCTCTCGGGACCCCGGGATTTCTCCAGGAATAGTGTGAACACATACGCGAAGTTTCCTTGAGGCGCGCGATTCAAACCAAAGAAGAAACCGAGACAAGCACGAACTACCAGCAGAAAACGCATCACACCGCTGGGACGCTCACCCGAGACTCTGTCGGTGCCTAGCTTCCCATATGCAGCAACCCGTGGGTGTACCTCGTGGAAGTGGACGAACCAAGGGTCTCACAGCGCCGGAGTCGCTAGCTTCTCAGCGAGCTTTTGAGTTCACAGAATGCTTGCCTCCAAACCCACGTCTTGTTCGCCCTCTTTCCTGTCACCTAGCTGGCCATTTCTCGCCAACTGCTTTCTCGACCCTTGACCCGCCATGCCGTCTTCCTTCCAGCAGAGGCCTTGACTACAGCCGGCTGATTCCGCATCTCCTCTGAACCAATCCCTTATTCTTTCATTTCAATCTCACAACGCGGCCTCGCTCCTTGCCAATGGGATCCCTTCCTATACCGTTCGCCATGGATGCCAATTCACGCCACCCCGAGCTTCTGACCACACGAAAAATGTCCTTCCGACTCATGCATTATGCACTCACTCTGGCTGTGTGATATCGCCCTCACTCACCACCACCTCTTCCCGATCTTTTTCCCGCCCTTCCATCTCGATTCCCTCGCCAGAACATTTCTTGTCGCCCGACCCGTACCTTGTTTTACTCTCACCTGCTTGGATCGCTCCAGCACCCCTTTCCCCCAGCCCTCCTTGCGCTATCCAATCGGAGGTACTACCGAATGATCCTGACTATATCAGTTCATTTCCTCAATACTCATATTTCACTATCTTCAGTGTGGCATTGCTCGACCGTTTTCCCGCCACATCATCTCACGTCCAGCTGGAGACCCTGACTAGAAGGATTCCGCGCCACCCAACCACTCTTCCCCCCTCACACTCACGTTGTAGCATCCCTCCTCATCAAACCTTGCCCGATCCCCCTCCCGCCATACCATCTCACATCTTCCCCGAGCTTCTGACCAAATATTCACTCTCGCTCACAAACTATCCCTTGTTCACTCACTCTCGCCAATCCCTCCTCGCGAACCCCATCCATTCCCCCGACCCCTCCCCCGCCACATGGAATATAGCGTCCGACCAAGGCCTTGCCGGAGAGATTCATATATTGCCTCCTCTCAGCCAATGTCTTATTGGACCTGCTTGACATCATATGTCGACAAACATCTGAAAGGAGGCAGCCGAGGCGCTGGTTACACGGATTTCTTTCCTCCCCATCCTTGACTTTGGTGGCATCGCTATTTGCCAAATCAACTCTTTCCCTGACTCTTCTCCCGCCTTGCCATCTCGCGTCCCGCCGACCTCCTTACAACATCGACCCTTGCCTCTCAACCCACGAACCTTGTTTTTGCCCCTCTCTATTCTATGACACCATGGCACTTCTTCCCTCTGTCTGCTCAGCCTCGGTTCTTCTCTCAGGCTGTTGTGGCTTCAGGAGATATTATTCGGACTCATTTCGACTAACCCAATATTTTTCATTTCATTCCTTCTCGCCCTGTCTACTTCATTCCGTGTGGTCGACGTGTTCTGTCTCTCCTTGCTGCCTGTTTTCACTTGTTTCCCTACATCTTTTGTCATTTGAGCTACTCTGTCACCGAGGAATTAAAGACCATTTTGTCCTTGAAGATTTTGAAACAAAGAAGGGAATCCGCCCGACATGAATTCGAACGGCCACATGTATGTGTCGTAAGGAGATCGAGAAGCAAATGCTTGGAGGTATCCGAAGTGCAGGGGCAACAGCCCGAAACCTCTCCCCCGTTTGACAGTGAGCTAATGTTGCGTGACCGCCCCATGCGGGAGCGGATTCGCTCGTGACGCACAATGCCAACGCTAAGCTGGGCGCGTGTGCCGTACTGACCCAGCGCCTGTCAGCAAGTGAATTTGTCAACATTACCGCAATGTTCACATTCACGAGTATTTTGTGAGTCAACTCCTGTGCAACAACGATGCGCCGCAAACACAGCAAACCTCGATGACTTCAAATCTCTGCCTCTCTCTCGCTCTCGCTCTGTGTGTATCTGACTGTCTGCCTCTCTGTTTGTCTCTGTCTGTCTCTCATTCTCTCTGGCTCTCATTCTCTCTGTCTCTTTCTCTTCACTTTGTTAGGGGAAAATATTGCCGAACAATTGAGAATATGTTTGTTGGCTGTCTTTGGAATCTTTCAGTCTTGAACCCCATTCTGAACGTGTCTTCGAGAATCTAATGTTTTGCAAAAACGCGGCCTACAGGTATAGCTCTGTAGTACTATTCGTTAGGCCTATCTAACTATTGTACTGTCGTATTGTCATTGTTCTCTGGTTTCTTCCCATTTCGATCTCTCTCGATTCGTCGGCCTCTGTGATTCCCTTTGCTCAACGTAGGTAACTTCACCATCGCGCCTGTTTCATTCGCTCCTCTGTCTCCTGTGACTCATTTCCTTCTAGCGCGTGATTTTCTCGGCATATTTTACCGAGAAGCCACAAGGAAGAAAGCGCTGGGGTTCGTACTTCCTAAGGTCATCCAACAAGTGACCGTCATTGTGTCGATTTATTGTAAAGTACGTAAACTGAGCTCACAAATGGCGCTCCAAAGTTGTAGTCTATTTAGATACCAAGTTAATGTGGCTCGATTTCTCAACTGCCAACTACTTCATTGAGGCGCTTTCCGAAGATGCGCAGACGCCGGGCATCCTCGAATGCCGCCTCCCCCCTCGAAGCACCAACCAGCCCCAACAGGCATATCTTGTCTCGATGTCGAGGTTGCCGAGAATTGTATGGGAGGCGAAGTGGGCAAACAAAACGAGGGGTAGACAACCCACGGAATGGGTCAAGGTTGTAGAGGACGTATGGAAGGGGCTCGACATCGACGAGGATGAAACGCTGGAAACGGAGGGTCTACAGGGGTTCAAGGAGAAGATATATGTTGCTTGTGCCGAGAGAGAACAGAATCTAAGGAAAGAATCCAAGGATAAGGAGGGTCTAGAAGTGTACGGAATGTTGAAGGAAGGAATAGGGTTCAAGGATTACCTACATGGACCAATGGATGTAGGAACAAAGCTTAAGGTCAAATTCAGGACCGGGGACATAGGCCTTCGAGAACGTCGACGAAGACATAGGACGAGACGAGGAAGACGACGAGTTCAAATGTGATTGCGGCTTCGAATGCGAAGACCGTGTTCATGTAGTCGCGGAATGTCCGTTGTACAAGAAGGAGAGGGAAGTGTACGTGACTGAGCTGGGAAAAATAGATGGAACGTACAGGGAG